ACGACGACGACGACACTATGACGGCGATGACGGCGGTCGAAATTCCGTCGTCAACGATGCGAAACATCTTCACAGCAGGCTATCTAGTGTAATGGGAACTGCGAGTGCAGGACAAGGAAATGGGACTGTCAGCATATGTCCGGACATCTGCCCGAAGCTCTGGGTGTGCTCGGGGGTGCGCCGGCATGCCGGGCATGACGTGCTGGGCGTGCTTGGGCGTACCCGGACCTACTCGATGTAGTCAGGTGTACTCAGGTGTATTCGGGCATACTATGGCATACTCGGGTTTACTGCAGCGTCCCCGGTCGTACGAAACTTTCCGACTCCGAATATGCAGCCCAGCTAGGCTAAATCCTTGACCCTGCAACACAAACACAAAACCGGCGGACAGCTCAGCACATTAAAAGCTTGCGAAAAGGCCCCGTGACACCACGTGCTTCCCGAAATCTTAGATCGATGAGCTGCCCAACCCCGAAACTCCATGAGCAACGAGCTTGCCCCAACCCCAAGCCATGGGTGCCAAGCTTGCTGGACAGGCTCATTTTCCCCCNNCCCCCCCCCCCCCCCCCACACCGGTTGAATGCTCTTCAGTTCCAGGTGGCCGGTTCAACTCCTTCTTCCTGAAGCGCCAACAGCAAGCAAGAAACCTCGCGATTGAAGAATCCCGGCACTAGTTTTCCATGCGCCTCTTACTCTGCGGCGACATCCCACCCCTAAAGCAAAAAACTTCATGTAGAAACACTCATAGTGGATTGCATACTTCCGGCTTGGATCCAAATCTCACATGGAAGGGCCATGTCACGCAAAGATTGGTTTGAACTTCCTAAACCTTACACTCCAAACCTGGAGCCCGAAACCCAAGAACGCAGCCTGAAACCCTTCAGTCTCTTAACCCGAAGACCGGCAATTCAAAAGCTCTGAACCTTGAAGTCTGTCCCCGATTCCCCGGCAGCTCAGCTCGACAAGCCCCAAAGTCCGTCCTGAACCTAAACCCTAAAAATGAAGCTTCAGCTGTCAAGTATCAAGGCCGCAGCCTACAGGCAGAGCCCAAGGCTTCGGCAGAAGAAGGCTTTTGGGTTTAGGGCCTTTTAGGGCCTTTAGGGTTTAGGGAGGGTTTGTACTAGCTTGTACATGTCTGGTCTCATTCGGCTTTGGCTCTCACAGTCCCGGGCCCGAACCGTAGCGAACCCCCTACAATGCTACGGACAACCAGCACCCGAGACGAAAAACACCTCAACCCGAAACCGACAGGGAATGGAAAGACACCGGAATTGCCGTCATACTCTTCGAAACAGCAACCTGGCGCCAGCGACTCGCTGTCGCCACGGCCCTCAACGCTGAATTCAGGCCGACGACATCGGCGTGGATCTGCAAAGCTTGTAGCACTGTAGTGCGGGGGCTGCAGTTCTAGCTTGGGGTGTTTGGAGTTTGGGATCAATGCTCTTGGATACTGCTTGCGCTTTTGGCGCTAAGGTTGCCAAAATCTCAACACCTGCCAAGTGACAAAACACGATCTGCTCATCTGACCTAGCCCCTGAACCATCCAAATCTCGAAAAAACACCGCATGGCAGCCTCAACAGACTGCGCCCCAATGTGCCCTCGAACCTTTTCCTGACCGACTCTAAAACCAAGCTCCAAACCACAAAACACAGAAAGCACCACTCCCAGCGATCAACGCAGGCTCAAGCCCCAAAGCGCAGAAAGCCTCAACGCACCTCAAAATCCCGAAGGCCAACTCTCTCACTCTGAAAGTGAGGCTTGCAAGGCCTTCCATACCTGCAAGTCCCTGAGCAGAGCCAGAGCTCCTGACCAGCGCCGCACTGGGGGAAGGCTTCGAAGTTTCGTTTCGAGTTCCAGACAGCGCAACACAGGCTCAGGGTCGGTCTGAGACCGCTGAAGAATCGAAGATCCTAAATCTCGAGGCAATCTCATAGTTTCACTTGAGGGCCAGGGGCATGGAGAACGAAAGCTCGGTCTTTTTTTGCAGAAGGACTCAACGGCTACACACA